CAGCAGCAGCTGCTGCAGCAGCAGCTGCTGCAGCAGCAGCAGCAGCAGCTGCAGCAGCGGATCCACAACGCGCAGATGCGCCAGGAGGCAGCTGCCCCCCAGACACAGACGCTCCAAAGAAACGGGGTGCAGCAGCAGCTGCAGCAGCAGCAGCAGCACGGTGCCCAGAAGCTGTACCAGCTGCAGCAGCAACAGCTCCTCCAGCAGCAACAGGCCCAGCGCCAGCAGGCGCTTCTGCAGCAGCAGCAGCTTCTGCAGCAGCAACGCCTCCAGCAGCAGCAGCAGAACGCTGCGCAGTCTGCGGCACTCCAGAAGACCCAGGACGCGACAGCTGCTATGCAGCAGCAACAACTCTTGCTGCAGCAGCAGCAGCTGCTGCAGCAGAGCTTACGCCAGGCCCCCAACGGAAACCCGCAGCAGCTTCAACAGACAACGCAGCAACTCCTACAGCAGCAACTGCAGCAGCAGCCACAGCAGCCACAGCATCATGTGCTCCAGCAAATGCAACAACAGACACAACAGCAACAAACAGCTCAGCAACAGCAGCCACAACAACAGCTGCTACAACAGCAACTGCTACAGCAGCAGCTCCAGCAGCAGCAGCTCCAGCAACAGCAGCTCCAGCTACTGCGACAGCAGCAACAGCAGCAGCTCCTGCAGCAGCAACAACTGCAGCAGAAGCAGCCTCTCCAGCAGCAGCCTGTCCAGCAGCTGCAGCAGCAGCAGCAGCAGCAGCAGCACGTGCAGACCCGCGCAGCGCCATCCTTGTCCCTCAACAAGCCTCTGGCCCCCATCCTTAAAGACCCGCAGAATCTCATATTGCAGGAGCAGCAGCAGCTCATAATGCAGCAGCAGCAGGAACTGCTGCGGCAGCAGCACCTGATAGATGAGAAGCTGACCCGGGAACGCTCGCAGAAGCCACCGCAGCAACCGCAGCAGCCGCCGCAGCAGGTGCAGCAGCAGGTGCAGCAGCTGCAGCAGCAGCAGGTGCAGCAGCAGGTGCAGCAGCTGCAGCAGCAGCTGCAGCAGCAGCAAAGGGCCCCCGCGAGGCGGCTCTCTATAGAAAAGACAATCGAACACCTTGTGAAGGTTGCCTCACAAGGGAGCTCCGACAGTGGCAAGATCTACGGCAGCAGCAGCAGCAGCAGCAGCAGCAGCAGCAGCAGCAGCGAGACGGGAGAGGTGGACCCCGAGAAGCTGGCGCAAATGACGAAGCAGTTTTTCACTGCAGCAGGAACAGCAACTTCAGCTTTGAGTGCAATT